ACTATTTGGTGAATTTAGCTCAGATTTATACGGTAGAAAATTAAATATTGGGCCTTTAAGGAAGCAAGGCGATATCCCAGTGCTGTTTCATTGGGTCTTTAAAGGGTACTACAGTGAGTTAATACTGCACTTCCATAACTTTCTGTCCCTTTCTTACTGCAGAAATGCTGGATCCCATATTTCCCATAATGAAACCCATCGTATATTTTCTTTAGATGCTGCCTGGTAAATGCAAACATCCTTCAAACTCCTTGTGCGCGGTTTGCCTGCAGGCTTTCTGTTGTAAATGTGTAGTTTCCAAACTTGGGGGTTTAAGTCTCTAAGACTTGTGAAATTTCCTCTAAAACTGTGTTACATGCTGAGTAGTACTTCCTCTGACGAGAAAACGGATCAACATGTGTAAAATCAGTGGAATTCCCCCGAATAGTTTGCAGGTGCATGCGCCTCATAGACGTCAGAAGTAGCTCATATCTGTTCTTGACTTCAAGGTTCAAAGTTTTTTGTCTTGTTTCCCAAAAGAGAAACATGTCTTGGATTGAAGAGCCTGCCGTATAAAAACACTTGATGAATTAATATAAAACACACTACTCACAAAATCAAGTAGCAAACACAGTTAAAACTACATACTTTAAAATGACCCTGTTCTGATCCTGATCCTGCTCTTTATTGCCCACAGCCAGAACACCCAAACCCGGGTGTTCGGTACCCAGGAACAGACCGCGTGGCCTACCTCCCTGACAGCCCTGAGGGGAACCGTGTGCTGGGCCTGCTGCGCCGGGCCTTCGAACAGCGCCTTATCTTCACCATCGGTACCTCCATGACTACGGGCATGCAAAATGTCATCACCTGGAATGACATTCACCACAAGACCTCAATATGGGGCGGGCCCCGCTGGTATGTATGGGCTTTTAGTTGGAGGCGAATGCCCATGGAGATTTGATTTGGCAATGGTCTCAACAACTTTTCTAAGAGGTGCGGTAGCTGAAAAAATGGTTCAGTAATGACTGACAGATGTAATTGAAGTTCCTGACAAGGGAATGCTATCAGTTGATGTCCTTGGCTAGATGGCACTATTGCTGCCTGAGCTCATACAGATGCAGTGATGGCTGTTTTATTTCTCCTGACAGTTTTGGCTACCCAGACCCCACCTACCTGGTACGAGTGACAGAGGAGCTCAGAGAGAAAGGCATCACAGCGGACTGACAGCACGAAAGTGACAGACTCTTCCAGGACTTTGTGAGACTTTCCGAGTGTCTTTGTCCTTGCGGTGGACATGACTCGGCTCCAGGTTGTGCTCTGAGACTGCCCGTCCCTAGCTGAAGAGGATAGCTGAAGACAAGGCCCTCAGCAGACGAGCGTCTAATGCTGCAGCAGAGCCCACATCAATCCACTAGCTGTTCCTCTGTTTGTTCATGTTCCTCCGGAGTCAAGCTTAACCCAGTGCTACATGTGGAAAAAAAATACTTTGAGTGCAGTGCATTCTTGTATTACACAATCCTCTACCTGTCACATTTGGCAATAGGACCAATATCTGATGCACTTATTTAAGAGCATTGTGGGGTGTTGGAATTCATGGTACTTATATATTATTTAGGAAATCTAAGTTTAATGTTATAAAGACAGTTTATGTTATATTAATGTTTATTTCTACTCTGGGGATTTCTTTATTTCTTACAAGCACACATTCTTGGTTTTATTTCCCCAGAAATGTTTGTTGAGTAAGTCTCTAATTTGATTGTTACTAATTGCTTGTCGTGGGGATTTTATGGCAGAATAGCACTGTTTGAGTAGAGAGAATTCATTTTCTGAAGTAACTGCAATCTAAAGCACTCACAGGCACTTTGGTAAGGCAGTTTGTTTTTCAGTGAAGAAGGAGTCATGGTTTTTGCTTCCTCTGTGTGGAAGAGTGCTCGGAGCAAGAAGGTTCATGCAGCCATCAGCTCTTAGCTTGGTGACTACAAGTTGATGTCAGTTGCTTGGAACTCTTTGTTTGCGTGTGATTCTTCATTTTTCCCCCCTGCATTTTTACTTAAATGGGAAGAATGTTAAACGATGCCTCATTGCAGCAGCTTTTATTACATGCGTCAGGACTTCCGCCTGGGTTTTTTTTTTTTTTTCTTGCCATTGGTCACTCCTGTTATATCAAGATGTCTCCCAGGTGTTGAGCCCATTACCTCAGTTGTTAGTAATGTGCTCATCTAATTACCAGATTTAAGACGATGTCAAATGTAAAGGGCATATAGACCACTTAAACCAAATCAAAGGCACAAAAGCTCTTTAAATATCTATGCCTCTGTCCCTGTCAAACTGGGAGATTGCCTGCTAATGTTCTCGTTCAAAATGAGGTAACTGTTGTAAATTTGTTTATCTGAATAGATAATCTACAATACACAGTGAAACTATAACAAAAAGAAAATGTGGGAACAATTGATCTGATTTAGGGTGGGTGGGATACTGATTTTGTTGTGCCTTTCTTATATTCACTTTTGATAAAAAAAAAAAAAAAAAAATCAAGCATGATGTTGCTAATGAACGGTAAGCAGTTTGGGCGTATTTTGTTTGTAGCTATACTATCTGGCTTTAAGTACAAATACTACACAGTTCATGAAAATATGTATACTAATGTGTATTAAATTAGCGTCTCCTTCATAAACATTCTTGTAGTCCAAATGCTGAAAAAACCCTCAGACAGATAAAGCTGTATGTGTGAAAGTGCTTTATTAAGTACAGTAATCTGCTTGGCTAATGGCTAAATTTGTCATAAATTTGACTGGTCAGATCCATAAATCAAATACCTTTTTATTATGTTTTCATCCCCTTTGTATTTTAGTTAAGGGACCAACTGAAATATTTCTGGGACACAGGATTGTAGTTTACTAAAGCTACTGTGCAAACATTTCTATGCATAACATGATTGAGGAGGAGTTAGGAGAATGGACAGTAGAGAGATTACACATATTACAAATTGATTGTTGAAGAAAAGTTGGAGTTTTGATTTTCTAATTGTGTTGATTCGTACTTTGTTGATATTCAGAATAATGTGCTTTACATTTTAATACTTGAATAAAAAGTTATGTTTGGGTTTGTGTTGGATATTCAGTGTAGGCCCCAAATAAACTAGATGCATTGTAAGCAACTATCAAAGTTGTGTCCATCTGGAAAGTGTCCATTTGGAATGGGTTCAAGGTTGTCGCCTTGCATCAAGATTTGATCTACACTGTTACACTGTAGCAACAATGATTCTTGTCACACCAAGACACTGAACTCTGCTAATACACTTTGTGCCATCTAGTGGACATCATCATGACTGAGGAGTGAACAGACCTTCAAAATACTGCACCTGATATACCCAATTTTACCACTACTACCTTTACAAATTGGTCATAATGTGGCCTATGTTGTAAGGGACCTTTGTTGCATTTCATCCCCCTCTTACACTCCCGACCTTTCCTGTTCCTCCTAATATCAGTTAAAGGAAAAAATGTCTGAAAATAATGTATCGTATGCGGCCATAAATCTCTGTTTGGAGGTGCACACTACTGAAGATGAGCACAAGGGACTATAACTTATAAAGGAACGAATTACTCAGAGACACACTGATACACACTGGTACCTGTGCATTTCAGCTTTAAGAAGTATACCACTTACTTTTTCGGCTGCATTTTGTAATTAGTCATTCCTTCATTTTTTTGGCAAAGAATTACTTTTGTAAAGAAATTAATTACACAGTGGCCTTCAGTTATGAAACATCAATAGGCTTCTGATTTCAGTTTGCTATGAGCCTCTTTTCTTCATAAAGCAATCTCTCAGAAAGATTTCTTGAATAGAAGAGATGTAACTCAAAGGAGCATCACATAGTTATAGTATAGACACCTTGTATGCCCTTTCAAACATCATAACTGTAAGTACTTGTCTTGAAAAACCTACTTCAGAACTTTTTCATGTTTTATAAAGGCTGCGGATGGTAGCAGATACTGCCAGTCTTCCTGATTTTCTTTCTCTTGCTCATTGCTTTAAGAAATACCTTAATGGCTAATGATCACAGATCGTCAAAACAAACACTAAAATTCTACTGAGTAATGGCAGAATAATTATTCTACCGTTTACAAAATTCCCAATGTATGCAAAACATTAGCAGTAGTAGTAAATATGAGATGAGATTAACTGTCTGGTATAAGTCAGTGTATTAAAATAACTGTGAGCCAACAGGTGGTAGATTGTCATATCACATGGGTTTGAGTTTAAAAATGGGTCAACAAGTGGCAAGAGAAGTATGCAGTTTAACAGCGTATGTGCATAATAGTATTGTGATGGAAATCTGAAAGTGAACAGTTGACAAAATGATCAAGTTGTCTTTATATATTTTAATAAGAGCTTTGCAAAGGATCAGTGTACAGTCACACAGTGCACATTAACTTTATAGAAAAAAGAAAGAAAGAAGGAGGCAGGGTCAGGATGTGTGTGTGTGTGTGTGTGTGAACAATTCTGGGTGCCATCCTGACTGTCTAACTGTCAAAAAGAAGCAGGTGTGTGTTCAAGGACAAACTACTCCCTAGTTTGTACCGGACAGTACCAGATAAGGAGCATACATGTGGGAACGGATTCACATTCAAGAATATACAAAGCCAGGTCACACAAAGTTCAAACCAGGTTATACAAAGTGCAGAATATAATTTTTCTATTACAGTATGCATGTATGTACAAGTGCTTAGTACCAGTATGTGTAAGTGAAGTATTCAGTTTTGGCCTAGGCGGCCTCTCATAGATAATGTACTTAGATATTCACCACTCTTTTGTTCAACCCTTTTGTTTCTTTTGGTTCATGAACTGTGACCTCAATGTCGATGACAGGGAGACTTTTCAGAATCAAAATCAAACCAATCACCGGTGAGTGCTCTTCGCACCACTTCCTCGCACATTGACGTGTAGTGACACCCACAGGAAATGAACAGACCTCTCGTGACGAATAAAGTCACTTCTTCCTTTAGACAGACTCCCTCCCGTATCCCGTATCCTGGTAGTGCCACCCCCCCTCCCCCTGGTTGGGGTTAGGGTTTAGGGTAAGTTATGATAGAGCGCGGCAGAGATAATTAGCTAGGTTAGGAATAATGCTGGGGGTTAGTTAGAGAAGGTAAAGGAAACGCATATCGACGGGGAAACAGACTTCGACACAACACCGGTACTTCTCTTTCCTTCCTTATCTTTTTATTTACGTCACAACTCGTTTGCGTCCATTCACGCAGCCAGGCAGCATACCGGAAAAATGGAAAACACGAGAAACAGCCACTCTAATGTGGTCCTTAAAAGTACAGAGGACTGCGCCATTTGCTTGGACAAAATCCAAGAGAGGAAGATGTTAAAGTGCCTTCACTCTTTTTGCTCTCAGTGTATCGACTCGGTTTTCAGGTTTAAACCCGCTTGTCCGATATGCAACACCTACCACGGAGTGTACACGGGGACCCAGCCGGAGGGGACGATGACGGTGACGCGCAGCTGGCAGCGCCTGCCCGGCTTCGAGCACTGCGGATGTATTGTCATACAGTACAGCTTCCCAGCAGGGATACAAGGGGTGAGGCTGACTGTGTAAATGGAAGCTGTAGAGGCCACATGTAGGCTGCATATTCACAGAGCTCGTGCCAGTGTACCGTGGCAACATCTTTCAGCTGCTTTTAGCACCACATCTGTCCACCAGAGAGCGCTGTCTGCTTCTAAATACAGTTCGACAGCCCTACACGGACACATAAAAACATCTGGATTAGGTATCATAACAGTTCAGCGCCACCTAACCATCATGCACCTTATTTCTCCCGTAGCTTCAGCCTGGTGTAGTAAAGCAGCCTCTGTTGTTAAACGTATAGCCTATGTTTAATATACTTATGTTGAAGTGGGAATCCTATGGAGAGGTGATTTAAGAGGCGCATCCCTCTGTTGTCATAGAAGCACATGTAGTGGTGGAGGAGGACAGTTGTGCTTTATTTCTAGATTATTTGCCCACAACCCAGTATAAACTTCCCCCTCAAAGTGATAGCAATATGCTTTGAAAAAGTTATGTCAAAGCTATGTATGTTCTTCTTTATTATTAACACTCACAATTAGGCTCAACAACTTCTAATGCTCGTGGACACCTTTTGAAAGTGAAAAGAAATAAATATAACCCCTGCCGACAGACATCAAAATGAGCCTCTCTTCCTGTGTCTTTGCCAACAAGCATGGGGCAAGAAATGTGCTGCAGTCAGTAGTTAAGAAACTGAAACTGAAATAGGTGAGCTTTCTGGACAATGATCCAAAGCAGACCTCAAAATTCAACATGGACTAACTCACTACAAACAAATTCAAGTTTAAGCTTCTGGATCGGCCCTCACAGTCCCCTGACTTGAACATCATCGAAAAGTCTGTGGGTAGATCTTAAACATGCTGTGTGTGCAACACAACCTAAAAATATCACAGAAGGTGATCTGCAGGAAGAGTGGGTGAAAATACATTAAAGAAACTCTTAGCTGCTACAAAAAGCATTCGCAAGCTGTGCTATCTTCCAAAGTGCAGGTTACTAAGTTCTGAAGTTGGGAGAGTACCCAAACCTTTGCACATGCTCCAATATACTCTTTTTTTTCCCCCAGTTTTTTAAGTCCCTGAAATAAAAAGAAACTGTACATTAACATTTGAAGAAAGAATTATTGTAATGTTTGTTTGCTGCAAAGGAGATATTTACTTCTTTTCATGTAAAAATTCAACAAATTCAACAAAATATGTAATTTGCAGAGGGCTGCTCAAACTATTGCATAGAACTGTAGCTTCCAAATACTGACAAAAAGATCAACAGCTGGACACTTTGCTAAGAGATGGGCTCTTCATTAGAGCAGCAATTATAATGACTATTTTTTTTCTTGATTAGTCAATAATTTTTCAGTCTGTGGAATGCCAAAACAAAAAAAAAGAAGAATATATATCACAGTTTCACTGAGTTTAAGGAGATTTCTGCAAATGTGCAAGCAGCGATTAAAAACTCAAATATGTTAATTTTGCAATGAACAGACAAAAGCAGCAAACCTTCACATTAAAGAAGGTGGATCCACATAATGTTTGGTGTTTTTCTGTCCATCAACTAATTGTGTGATTAATTGTGAGTGTCTGTGTGTGTGTGTGTAAGTGTGAAAGAGCACAAACAAGTGATGTAATTCCCAATGTAACTGCAAATGTCTGCAGAAGTAACAATGAGAGTGGGAGCGTTATCTGTATATAGTTCAGAAAATGGCAAAGAGAAACAATGTGTGTGTAGGAGAGGGGCAGTGTGAGAGAGGACATATTTTTGGATGTTGTGCAACAGTGAAAGCATCTTTAAGAGTTCGTTTTGCGAGCATGATACCTAAAAGGAGGATTGTCATCAACTGAGTATATTACAAACAGTATATTTTGTTGTTTACCATATTACAGCCTGAGCACCCAAACCCTGGAGTGAGGTACAGCAGCACCTCTCGTACTGCCTACCTGCCAGCCTGCGAGGAGGGGGAGAAAGTCCTGAAGCTGCTCAGGAAAGCCTTCGACAGGAGACTTGTCTTCACTATCGGACAATCCGCAACCACAGGCCTCAACAACGTCATCACCTGGAACGACATTCACCACAAGACCAACGTTGGAGGTGGTCCACAATGGTATGCACATTATCGCTGTAGGAGAATGACTGATCTCACCCATGAGTGTACAGGAAATTGCCTTGAAGGCTGTAACGCAGGATTGAGGAACTCATCGGGTGAAAAAGATCAAATTCAGTTTCATGTTATGCTCCTCCGATGAAATGTTGTTCGTGTGTGTCTGAGCCAAAAGTTGTGCTAACCCATCTGTTGATGTTGAGATATCTCACCGGACAGGAGCAAACTTTGGCCTGCTGGTGGCGCTAGAGGAAAAGTCAAGGGGTCACCAAATTAAATGGGAGTCATTCCTCGGTCGCTATGGATACCTGCACAAAATGTTGTGACAATTGATCCAGTAGTTGTTGAGATACTAGCACTTGATGGCCGTTTGAGTAGAATACTGTTGCTGTACAGCAAAAAACATTTTTAAGATCCAGTTTTGTATGTTTAGTTGTCCTCTTTGGGATTAAGAAATTCTATAACCTTCCATGTTGCGACCCTTTTCAAATCTAATTTAGCTGGATACATTTCAACTAGCAGTTACTACATTTTCTGATTGCTTTTGTTTCTTCATTCCAGCTTTGGATATCCAGATCCAGCATATTTGTTCAGGGTTCAAGAGGAGCTTCGTCTTAAAGGAGTGACAGAGGAAGACTAATGGGTGAAGTCATCCTTCAAGTAGATTTAATACTGTGTATTGTGACAAATTTCCGTATTTCAAGTCTGCACTTTTTTTAGACCTCAAACAGGGATCTTCACGGCTGACACTTTAAAATGTTTCTTTTGTGTTGAAATTGATTTATTAGATATAAGACATGGAGGTTTGTGGTTTTTCCCAAAGATTTCCAATTGTTCATTTCAACTGACTATGCAAAGAATTACTTTAATCACAGGCCATACAGTAAGCAGTACAGTAGGCTATACTACTGATCATCAGATATTTCAATCATGTAAATATGCCATTTTCTTCTGTTTTTAACATGGCGTCACATGGGATCACAAATCTGGTGCCTAGTGGTGGTAAAAGCAGTCTTCTCTTGATCAGGCCCACAGTCGGCATCAAGAATGTAGACAAAACAGGTAAAATAATCCTGAGGGCTACGGCCAGCAGAACAGAAGAAAGACAAAGAGTGACTGCTAGCTGTGTCCTACATAGACTGTGGTGAAATAGACTGATGACGATTTGACCACAACTGTGCACAACTCTGCAGTTTTGCATCCTGTAGCACATTTCTGAATGTAACTGCATGTACCAACATATCATTACCGTATACTTCTAACTAACACTGTTATGGACTATGTCTAATTTACTATTGCTGATGTCTGGTGGCTGCTTTGACATAAACTGAGGCTCTGTCCACTCATTCAACCAGTGAAGTCCATGTAGGAAACCACTGTGTACATGTGATAGAGATGACATTTGTTAAATTTATAGGTAAAGTGTGAGATGTATGTGTCATTATGTTTAAAGTCTGGTGATAATCTACATTTCTCTTACTGTCAACAAATCCCATGAAAAGACCAAAACCAACAATCAATCAGTCCGACTAGCAAGTATAGCTTACGTAACCAAAGCCTTTACATTACACTGTACTGTATACATTCAGATGAACAAGGGCATTGCCTTTTATTTTGAGTTGATCCCACATGTTCCATATTTCCCAACAAATGCACTTTACTCCTGTTTGAGTAACCTTTGTTAAAAGCTGGTTTAGGAAATTATTTAGCGTTTTAAAAAAAAAAAAGAAAAAAAAGAAAATATATATTTGTTACCCTTTTTTTTTTTTTTTTTTTTTAAATTGACACCTTCAATTAAGATGAACAGTTTTGGGGCTGCAACACGAACAAGCCGGAGAGTGCCAAGCGTTATTCTTTTCCATGGTAAAACATCAGGTGTACAAAAAGCACATTCATTAGGTAACATACTGTGTTCACGCAAGTGTCAAATAAAATGAGCGTCAAACAAAGTGTCAGCAGTGCTCTGAATTCATCAGCTACTAACTAGTACTTTTGTATCTTGCCTTTTCCCCCTCTGGTCCACTAGAGGGTGATGCTCCCCTCAAAGAAAACTGTGTGATGGCGTCTGCTTGGTATGCAGCTGTAACATCATCACAAACCCACAGTCCCGCAGCACCTCCCAAACCTCATTGCCCAAAGTCAGTGAGAGGAGCAGAGCATCTGCTGTAGATGATGAGTCATGTGTTTCTATGGTGCCCGGGGCAGCTTTAGCAGCAGCAGCATTTACTGTATCTGTACGATGGAGAGAACGGACGTCGCCCTGTGTTTGACCACATTGAACTGATCATCTGTGGATTTCTGATGGCAAATACTGTAAGCAGAGGCGATGACATGCGCATACAGACGCAGATTCAATTTAAAAGATTAATAAAGGCGAAAGAATTAGTGGCTCATCTGCTATTCTTTTTAATTGAGGTCATTTGCATGTCTACTCATGTTAAATGTGTAGCAAGTGTCTTACAGTAGCCATCACTAAATACAAAATACTGCAAACAGAGTTTCTAAGAGTAACTAAAAGCTTATTATTGTCTTGTGGTGTATTTAGATGCAGCAGAGCCTGACACACATGCTCTGTTTTTGGTTTTCTGGGCTCTCCGGTATCACATCCAGCTGATCGCTTTCTCAGCGTCTACCATAGCACAGAGCTATGGGATGAAAAAATACCTTTAACCTATATTTCTATCAGGGAAAGCGCACATGTGACTGGGTGGAGTTATTGGGCTCGTTCTCTTCAGTGCTATGGTGTTAAGCGGCTCGGGGCATTTCTATGGCCTAGGATCTCAGGGCATCTGCTGCTCTCACAAAGCAGACCAGGACCCATCTGGTCAAATGTACCACTGCCCCCACCTCCCCCATTTTGCCTTTTCTCCCGTAATTCATCAGTTTAGTCCAACCATTTCCCATCATCATCATCCATTTTCTTCTCTTGAGCCTTAATCATTCAGTATTAACGCTGTTTTTATCTGTCACTTCTTCTCCTTTCTGCTGTGTTGTGTAAATGGAAAGCATCACCTGTTGTAACTTCATGAACATATCATTACACGTTGTTATTTTAACATAAGTGGAAAATTGGCAGTTGAGCAGATTGTGAGACAGGCAAGGAAACATGGAGCATGCATAATATACAGAGAATGACTGAGGAAACACGACAAATAAATCCGCTTTTCAAAATTCACTTTCAGTTCAGTGGATGTAACCTACATTTGAACATCAAATATTCCATGTGAAAGGCTGAGGAATGTCTCCATAAGAAGACATCCTCCCAACTGACAATCTCTTCAGGCGTTATTGTTTAAACGCAAATTATATTCCTAGTTAAATTGAAATAAAATGACAAACACTATTAAAATTCAATGACTCTTTGTCCCTCTCTGCAGGTATTTCCCTTCTCTGTCAGTGTCCATCTGGACATCTGGGAAAAAGGGCAAAGAATTACAGAAATTTAAAAGAGCTATAAATATGTATTAATGATTATGCACAGCAATATCGTGAGTGGATTAAACACACAGTGACAAACCTCCTTCTAAAATGGATTGATGACAGAGTGAAAATAAGCTCTCAGTGTATGGATTAAAACGGATACATCTGTAGCTGCTTACATTCATTTCCATCAAACGCAGCTCTACAGTGTTGTGGCAGGACGGCGTGAATACTCCCCTGCCAGCCACTGAAAATAGCAACAAGACTTGGTTGATTTCATGTTTCTGGGTGTGACTAGACGGCCGCTCAGGAGGGGCTCCCGAGAAACAACCAGACACACGTACCCATCGGGCGAGAGATGTGCGGTGTTTCCTGTACCAGAGATGATAAGAAAATCATTATGTGACAATGCAGAGCTGTTGTTCTCGCCCCCTCTCCCCACTGTGCTCCTTAATTAGAGTGTCTCTGGCTGTGGGGAAAACCCTGGCACATCGCCTGCCTGCCTCCTCATCCTCTCATCCTCTCCCAATCACAGATATACCTGCCTATCTGGGTGCAGGGCACGCTACTCTTCTCCTTCCACTGTAATGGAAATCAACTCCTCCAGACGTAGCCTACTTTTGCATACCCTTTGAAGGTATGTTTTATTTATTTATTTATTTATTTTTTTTATATCTTCACCCAGTTTCCTCTTTTAACGCCAAAGTTGACAGAAATAAAGATTCTCTGCCTTCCCTGAATTAAAAATCTCTATATTTAAATCATAAAGGCCAAACAAGGACATTCGAGGCCGTGTTTGTGTGTTAGGTAAATGGACAGGAGGAGGCTGAGGAGGCATCTGTCTCCATACACACTCTTTGTGTGACAGAATGTCAACCCACACCGTTGACATGCTCATTCACTGCGCCTAAGGCTGTTTGCTTAAGAACAGCAAAATAGAAGGTGGGTGTGTGGGTGCTTGTGCTTCTGTGGCTTTTGTCTGTGTGCCCTTGACTGCATCTGTGCGTACAGTATGTACGAATACGCACTAGTGAATACATGAACGTGTGTGTTTGTGTGTGTGTGTGTGTGTGAGAGTGAGTGTGTTTGTTGAGGCAGTTTCTCACATTCTCTTCTCTGTTTCATAGCTGGGGCTACATGGCTTTTTGTCTGCCTGATTTAGCAGAACAGACCCTCTGCTTTTCTTAGTAATGCTGACAGATTTACTGACTTACTTCGCCGACAGGACACAACAGCAAAGCTGGCAACTATTGGGGTCTTTGGCTGGGTTGTCAGCGTCACAGATTGAAGGCTGTGCCTCAAGCTGTTCTTCATTAGCGAGCGCCTACTTTCTCCACGATATGAGGATAGTAGTTCCATCATCTGCCCTCTGTGAGGGAGATTAAAACAATGTCCAGTAATTACCTCTCCAAACTTAAATTAGGAACAGTGTTGTTTATCGTGATCATATGATAAGTATTTTTGGTCATATTGAACATAACACCCAGCCATCTCATTCATCCGAAAGTGTAAATGGATGTGCAGCAACATGAACATATTCAAAAGGACCCGAACAAAAACCCTTGCAAATACAGTCTGGATAGAAAATATTTTCTGGGTGCTCTGAGGGATACCAAACTCCTTTGTTGTCCTTCCTGTCTGCATCCTCAGCCTTGGCCATCCACTCTCAGACTGTCTCATAGAAGAGCAATTAGCTGTGGCTGTCATGGCAACTAGCATGACCTTTCTATCATTTTACAAACAAGAATCTCTACCAAGGCCCGTCTTTCTTTTGAACGACTGGAACAGCTGGAGCTTTTTTTTTTTTCACATTAGCGGTAAAAATGTTTCTTTTCATTATAAAAATTTGATGGAGGCCGGCAGAAATCTGTGGTGGTGAAGATACTGGATACTGGTTTTAATGCAGCCTGATCTATTTTACACGGGAAGGTCGTACCCTGTGGCACCTCTACTGTATGTGAGCAACACTGAGACACCAGTTGTCGTACTGCTCGAATAGTAATGAGCCCTTTTATCTCTTCAGTCATATAGATCAGTTTGGAATACCACAAGTTTAAGTGAATGGAAAATATTGTTGTTGGGACATATTGTTATTGAGGACAAATTATACATCTAATAGAAATATAGTGGATCTCCTCATTTCACCCCCATTTATTTACACTGATAGACTGAAGTAGAAAGATGAAAGTAATTAGTGTTAACCAGTTGTTTTCCGTTAAATTACCAAATTGCTGCTGTCACAGAGGAAGCATCGTGATTAGAAAAAGAACCGGGCTCAGGCACAATCCTGTGCAAAAGCTTTTATGGCTTCACAAACTGAATATACAGTGTAAATATAAATATGGATCTGCTCAGAGAAAAACGTTGTGCTTGCACAACTGTATATTTTATATTGCTGTGCCAAAGTGTAGGCTGCTGCAGCTGAGTGCACTTGCTGGCAGAGACTGTGAGCCACACAAAGATTTTATTTAACAATATGTGATGTAACTACTTCGTGTACTATGAGGCAGGGTGGGCATCCATGCAGAGACATGGTTCAGATTCAAAGAAGATCAGGCTAAATCTGTAGAATTATCACTAGATGCTAACCAGTGTTTTTTTTTTTTTTTTTTTTTTAATACATCAAGATGAAGTGTGTGAAGGTGGGGGAAATCCTTGCAGTTATGAAGTGGGCCCCTTGCTTCACCCGTGGTTTGTTGATGTGGAGATGTCACACTTGCAGATTGCTCAGCAGGAGTTCTTACAATTAGCAAATGGAACAGCTGCACCTTATGGCAACAAACAGCTCACTAAGCAGTTTAGACGCTGAATCATAAAAGCAAACAGAAAGCTTAATCATGTCAGATATAGGATGTTGTGTGAGTAACTATTCCTGCTTCAGTTTGTCCTTGTACAACACAAATCAGTGTGAGTCATGAGGTACATCTTCATATTCATAGCTCCACTGGTGTCCCTTTTTTTCAGCCAGGATAAGAGGGCAATGTTAAGAATCAGATTATACCAACAACCCAGTAAAGTAACAGACGTGCCCCTCACAATCCAACAGAATAAGGAAATTTCAGCAGAAGCATAGAGTTCATCCTTGAGGAAAATATGTTTCACATTCAAAACTGAGTTAGTTTCCTGGCACACACACTGTACATGTCTAAATCAACAGCAAACGCAATCTAAGGCCAAGTCCTTCATTTCATGACTGAAAATATTTGTTTTGTATTTAAAACGAATATTACAAAACATTTGAAAACGAGGATATCATGTAATACGATGTAACACATTAGTTAAACACAGTGTGGATCTATGAATATTTTGTCTCTACTCAAGAGGCCCTT